AGACTTCAACTCCTGGAATTCTGGGAGTTGAAGTCCACTCATCTTAAAGTGGCCAAGTTTGGATAACACTGATGTAGAAGGAAAGGAGGAGCAAGCCTGGATAATTTAACAGGTAATTGAGCAGGCCCCTAGTAAGCACGTATATTCTTTTGAAGGAATTCTGCTTCCTTTTGCAGAACAGTCTTAGTAATAGGAAATACTAATGTGCTGTATATTTTAAAAATGGCCAATTTGCATTCTATCCACACCCTAAATCACAAGAACACATGCCTAGTGGTGGATTTTAAATGTATATCTGCAAATAAATAAATAAACAGCCTGCTGATGGTGTCAGGTCAATCAGTTAGGAGGGCTCATGGCCTGAAAATTCTCCTGAATTACTGATGTTTAATATTCTTTATGTAGTAAATTCTTTATGTTAAAAGAGTATTTAAAAATAAGTTTTTACTGCTGCCAGCATTTCCCAAAGACTTCAACATATGACTGCTGAATATACCGCAGCGGCTTCACTCAGAAATAATTCTAACCTATGGTTTCTTTATCCATGGCTTACTGAACAAGCCATAGTGGCTTCTTATTTTGTATACAATTCTTACTTAAAATGGGTGGATTCATACACTACAGTAATCAAAGAGCAAACAAATTATAGTAGAAATTAGTTTATGTCTAAACCAGGGCTGTATTAACGATAGGTGTCTGCTACATATGCTTGTTGTCCTGGTGAATGTTTCTAAAGGACTTGAACTGCAAAATGTTATATGGTTGAATATAATAGTTTAGTTTCCTCATTATACCTTTATTTGCTAGTCACTGCATGGTAAGCCAGAAATGTAAGACTTCAGTTAAACTAAATTAAGCTTGGGGACAACTTGATGATTTGAAAACAGACATCACTAAGTTTCTAACCTAGTAATCATGGTATTTTAATTGACACACAAAGATGTGTGCTAATTTAAAAGCTGTTTTGAGTTCTGAGTTCTTGTAGCTGTGGTAAAAAAATGATAGTGACTTACTTTAAAAAAGAAAAAAATAAGCAAAGCACTTTGTGTCTCTTAAAGGATCTTCTAATCAAATGGAAAAAAATCCTTTTGCGTAACAGGAAAGGTTATAAATCCATATATAATCTGTGGTTGGGGGCGCATCCTAAATATTCAGCTAATTATATGAGGACTATTATTGCTAAACTGTGGGCAAAAGTCCTGGGAGTATGCTATCATGCAAAACACTGTGCCAGCTGGCTTGAGGTTACAGTTGTGTACTCTTGCTTTGAATTGGTCTCATGCTGAAGGAGGACTTCAGCCAGCACCCGCCCTATCTGCCTCAAAAAGTAGCATTTGATTATCTTAGCTAGTAACCACTTTCTCAAACTGGAGAATTATATACAAGTTTGTGTCATGTACAACAACATGATATGCAGTTGGTACCGTGGGTCACTTTGTAATGCTTTCTAGGCTTAGGTCAAGCAGCCTACCTACCTGCTTGTTTTGTTGAAGAGATGAAGCAAGCAAGATAGACGTGGAGAGAGGGAAGGATAATGGTAGAGAAGGACTGAGTTGAGCAGATTCTCTGCCCAACTTTTTTTTTTCCAAAAACCAGGAGAATAGTAAAGAGACCATGGGGACTGCAGAAATCAGCTGTTCATGGCTCTGTCAAAATGACAGCACTTCTAGCTATGTAGTAATGTTGCTTTGACAAAGAGCTGTGCATGTTCACAACAAATTCAAATAACAAACAGATGGATTATTTTTTCTATTTTTTAGCACATCCGGGCTTGTATAGGGTGTATCAAAAGTCAGGCCCCATAGGCCAATCACAGTATGTTTTATTAATTAATATTTTTTCAGAGAAAATGTTACTGTACAATGCATCATTATGTAATGATACATTTAATGATGTATCGTACAATGCATTTGATCATACATCAAACAAGTAAGGAAATGTTTAGAAGAAAATGGCAACTAATTCAAACATTTGATGCAATTTATATAATAAATTGTCTATGAGTTCTGACTTTTGGTGCACCTTGTACATCACTGACAGATTTTGACTTTCATGTGGGTTGCATGAATGCTGTCAGTTGCGCATAGCGTGGACACTCCAGGATGTAACAGTGTACTAAGACTATGATCCAAGACCAATTAGATCCTAAGCAGAACAAAGTTAGTGGGTTTACCATGGGATTAAATCTACTGATTATGTGCTAATAAAGTAAATTTCCATTTGGCTTATCTTGTCTATTGTCTATAAATAATTTCATTCTGTTTAGGAATATGTTGTTTTGTCTTTTTTCAGCAGCAATATATGACATAAGATAACCATCTTTATCTTGGCCTCTTATTATGCCTGAAGTTTCTTTAAGAATTAATAGCAGTGTCATAATCAGGTGAGATTATGGCATTATATGTAGTACTCAGTATATTGAAGCATCAGTAATTTATGTAGTATATATGTAATTAAAACTATTTAGTGTATGGAATAACACTAATGGGAAATATGTGAAAGAATGCTTGGTGCAATGATGAACAGAAAAAGGCTGTGTATGAAGAAAAGAGTATTTAGATACCATCCAGAGTCACTTTTTTGTGAGATGGGCGGTATCTAAATTTGAAATATAAATAAATAAATGATTGTTACAAAAATTAGGAAGAGAAAAATATAATGATATGTAGAAAAAAGATAGTTGCAAAGAATATACAGGTAGTCCTCACTTACTGACTACTTGTTCAGCAACCGTTCAAAGTTATGATGGTGCTGAAAAACAAGACTTACAATTAATTGGTCCTTGAAGTTGCGGCAGTTGCAACATCCCCTCAGTCATGTGATTGCCATTTGCAACCTTCACAGCCAGCTTCCGACAAGCAAAATCAATGGGGAAGCTGGCAGAAAGTTGTGACAAGTTGTGGTCACATGACATGCTTAATGACCCAGCAGGAACTGACATCATAAATTGGTGCAATCATGTGTCATCATACTTAATGACTTCTCTGCTTAGTGACAGAGTTGCCGGTCCCTAATGCAGTCGATAAGTGAGGACTACCTGTAGTCAAAATTAGCCAGTTAAGATAAAAGAGGCAGAAAATGGAGAGTAATTTCTGTCAAAAATAAAAAATGGTTTTAGAATTGGGTTAAAAGGAATAAATAAGGATCCTCCAGCAGAGTGAATGGGATTAAGGCTAAAAGCAATGGCATTATTTGGGATGAAACTGAAATAGGGAAATGCTGGAAGGAGTATTTTAGAGATGTGTATGTGGCTGATAAGTATGATGTTGAAGAGTAGAACTGAAATTAATGCTATAAATGTTTATATTCTGTTGTCTGAGAAAATGATTAAGAAGGAAATAAATGCAAGAATGTTGAAAAATGATAAGGCCATACTGGTGTAGATGACTTGAAGAAAGTTTAAAATAAGAATATGGTTTGTTTATGGACTGGCCATGCAAATTGTTTAATGTAGATGAAGACAGATTCCCTTGTATAAAGGAAAAGATAACAAATGAATGCATGAACAGTCTGACAGTTAATTTGTTAAGTAAGCCTGGAAAGGCATTAGGCAGAAATTTGATTGAAGAAATTGGGGTGGTGCAGTGCAGCTTTATGCCAGACAGGAGATGTACAGACCAATGTTTTGCTCTTCAACAGATCACGGACAAATGTGAAAGTTTACAGTGTAATTATTGATGTAGAGAAAGTGAATAGGATTGAATGAGGAAGCTTTCTGCGTGATTTTTTGTGTTAAAAGTAGTATATTATGGGAAGAAAGCATGCATGAGAATAAGCAGAACGCTTAGAGAATGATTCTAGATTGAGCAGGAAGGATGTGTAATGGCCCCTTGGTTTGTTAATGTAGTTATGGATAAATGTATAAGATTAGGGCTGCCAGATCTGGGCTGCAAAAATTTGGATGGCATCTTAATGACAGCAAACAATACAAAAGACTAATTTTGGATTTTAAAACAGATCTGATAACTGAAATAAGGACTGTTTGTGGTGATGTTAGAAGTGTGTTGGTTGGGGGTATGAATGTGCAGGTATTTTTGTACATTGTGCCAATATTGTTGGCTGAGAATTCAATAATTTGCAGTGGATGTTACGTAGATTCTGTGTTGCAAGAAGGAATATGAATCTAAAAATTAATGTATTAAAAACCAAGGTAAATATGTTTGATAGGGGAAATGGAATGAATGATTTGTGTGTGTGTGTGTGTGTGTGTGTGTGTGTGTGCGCGCACACACCTTCAGGTAAGTGTTGACTCCTGGTGACTACCTGGACAAGTCTCTGCAGTTTTCTGAGCAAGATTTCAGAAGTGGTTTGCCATTGCCGCCTCCTTAGGGCTGAGAGAAAATGACTGGCCCAAGGTCACACAGTTGGCTTCGTGCCTAAGGCAGGACTAGAACTCATGGCCTCCCGGTTTCTAGCCTGATGCCTTAACCACTACACCAAACTGGCTCTTGAGTGAATGATTACAACTTAAATATAAATTAGAATGAGTAGGTAAATGAGTAAGTGAGTTTATGAACCTCAGTAAAATCTTTGCTAAAGATGGGGAAATTGCTGGAAAATTTTAAGCCATACAGTTGCTGGTATAAAGGTTGTGGAATAGTATGTAGTCTGGTTGAAAGGCATGAATGTTAGTGAGCAACCAGTATGAAAGGGGTAGATTAAATTGGTATGGTCATACAGAGACAATGAAAGAGGATTAAATGGCAAAGCAAATATATTGCAGAAAAATATGTGATGAGTTGGGAGAAAAAGGAAGACTAAAAAAGTTGTGGTTAGACAGAATTGATGAGATCCTTACTAAGAGAGAGATAGGAAATTTGAAGAACAAATGTTTGTCAATAAATCAGCATATAGACTGGATGGTTTACATGGTTAGAAAAATAGTCTTTCATGTAGTCTTTTGACAGATCCTTGAACTATCATTTTACTTGCAATATTTGAGAGGCAGAATCCATAATTATCTTCCTCATCTTTAGATTCTGTAAGATATGTGGACTTCAACTCCTAGAATTCTGTGTAGTGATCATAGTGGCTGGTGAATTCTGGGAAATCAGTTTCACATGTCTGAAAGGATCACTAACTGGTGAAAGTTTGTTATGCAGCAGAATATATATTTTTTCTTTTTAGCATTTTTTTAACAGATTTATTGTTGACTAATTTGGGAGCTCATTTCTAAAGCTTTTCTTCTTGTTGTTTAATGTTTTTAGCCTTTGGTTTCAAATAGACTGTTTTTTTTTCTTTTCCATTCAGATTTTCAACCTCATGAAATATGACAGCTACAGCCGCTTCTTGAAATCAGAAATGTTTCTTAAATTGAAGGAAACTGAAGAAGAGGAGGAAAATTCACCTGATCCTCAGACTGCAGCAAAAAGAGCTTCTAGAATTTACAATACATGATCCAAATAACAACAATCTATAGTTCAATAGTTCCTACTGAGACTACAGTGAAAAGCAAATCAGCTCTCAGGAATAATCTTTATGGTTAACACAGATGCATTTAGAAGCTTGAATCCTAGAATCCTATTAGAGAAATCTTACCTTTGGTTGCTTCAGTGACCTGTTTCTTGCCAGTGGTTGCTTCCAGATACAGGTAGTCCTCGACTTATGACCACAATAGGGACCGTAACATATGTTAAGTGGTGCAGCCGTTAAGCAAGGCATAACGTGACTGCACCCGATTTTACATCTTTTTTGCAGTGGTTAAGTGAATCACTGCGGTCGTTAAATGAATCACATGGTTAAGTGAATTGCATAGTCATTAAGTGAATCACACAGTTCCCCATTGATTTTGCTTGTCAGAAGCTGTCTGGGAAGGTTGCAAATGGTTATCATGTAAATACATGCCGGTTGCCAAGTGCCTGGATTTCGATCACGTGACTGTGGGGATGCTGCAATGGTTGTGAGGACTGGTCCTAAGTCACTTTTTTCAGCGCCATCATAGCTTCAGTCACTAAACGAATGGTCATAAGTCGAGGACTACGTGTACAGTGATCAAGGTAGTTATATGACAGCCCTTGAAAGACTGAAGAATTTGTAAGTTCTTGCAAATTGCTTCTAATTTTTAAAAGTATATTTTTTGTAAATCGTGGTAAAGGTGGGTGATAAATGTAGCTTTAAAATTAAAGCAAATTTGAAAATAGAGATAATATAAAAGACTTTGAAACCCTCGTAGAGTTTTGTCTAACAGAGACTTTCTGGAAATATCCTTTTTATGTTTTCACAGCTGTGTGAGTTGAACATGAGTTAATCATGTTATTTTAGGTACCCAGTCCATTGATGGATCAGATCAAGATCCGGTAGCTATTTGGCTGGGGCTTTTGTCATCAAAAAAGTGCCTCCTGGACCAATTTTGTAGCATGTTTTTCTATTTAAAAATAAGGTAACTATTTTCAACTGCAGCATATTCTGTTTGAAGAGATATCTATATCTTTAAAATTCTCAGGAGTAAAACAATATGGACAAATCCCACAAGAACCCACAGCTGAGATAATGATAGAGAGGCATTTTTCATCTTGGAAATAATTTTGTGCAGGAATTATCAGTATGGAAAGACCCCGGGAGAAATAGGGAATTAATGAAAATATGTGGGCTGAGTATGAGGTTAGATAGCAGTTTATGGCAAGAAAGAACTTTCAAGCATTTAGAGAGAAATTGTGCTTAATTTTGCTGTTCTATGTTTTGTGAATCATATTCCAAATATTGATAATGCCAATGAAATGGTGGATGTTAATAGGTTACGATAGTGTTTTGTATTAGTTTATGTCTGGGACATTCCTTCTTCATGCTTGGGGCTGAAGTGTAGTTTTCAATATTTTGTCAGATATAGAAAATTGAAGTATAAGAACAATAATGATAGTAATATGATTGCAAACCTCAATCAAATAACTATATTCTCTTTTTTCAAGCTGGAATTGCTGAGGCAAAGAAACTTTTTAGTGCAATTATTTTGTTTTAATATTCATTTCACATAAAATAATTTCAATGCTGTTAAACACAAGGAAAGCAAATTGGCTTGCATGCTTTATTTACAAGTTCTGTATATGAAATGTAATTCTGGCTAACGTTTTCTCTTTTGTTACTCTTTTTATCTTCTTTGTGAGGGCTACTTTATGGTCCAGTTTAACTCTTTAAATATTTGTAAGTTGTTTATTTGGGCAAATAGCACCCAGCCATTTTTCTTCCTAGCAATATCTCTAGAAGTCTCAATCATTATATAATGATGTTTAGGAATCATTGTACTAGGAAGAGGTACAGATGTTTGGGTCACATTGTCAGAACTGCCTATATATAAAAGACAGCAGCTATATTCTATTTTCATCTTAATACAAAGAATTGTGGCTGAACCAGCAATGAGTTGCTGGTTCATGTGGTGCTCCCTCAAATCACTCTATATCCAAGAGTAGCATTTGTAGAAATAGGCATTAATTTCCTGTCAGTGCATTCAGAAATGTCCATGATTCCTTCACCACAAACATATCCTTTATGCCTTATGTTGATTTTATTGCCAGTTGTCTTTCTCTTATACTAAAGGATAAAGGGAGCAGCAGGAATCTCCTGTAGAATATGTACATTTGACAAAGATAATGATGTTTGCAGAAGATCTGGGTTTTCAAAGAACATTTAGGAAATGGGAAAAATGCCATTTTTTCCTTTTTCCATGAACCAAATTGAGGCTAGGTTTACTATTCATGATAAACAAGCTTAAACTCTCGATTAAAACATTGTTTTAATCATGTTTAGTTGAATAAGCTGAAATGATTGGATCTATACACCATGCTAAGCCATAAAAGCTGGATTCACACATTTACTCTATGCCAGAAACAAATGCTAGTATGATATGGCCTGGTGTATGAACTCTCCTAGAAGGAAAGGCAAAATGCCCTGCATACGTACTGAGGCCAAGGCTAACAAGGCTGGAAGCAAGAGCCTGAGATGAGATAGGACCAATATAAGACTGCAGGTATCTTCTACATCCAAGGCTTAATAAATGAATGGCAAGAAATCCGTTACCATGTAAGGGTGAGAGAAAGAGATTTAGAATTTAAAGACTTTTAAAAATTTTCTTTGTGTGACTTCTTTATTGACTAGCTTAACTTTTTAAATATTTGAAAGTTCTATTTACCATCAGGCCAGTATTACCCTAACCATTAAATATGACCTGATTGCTAAATCCTGCAGTGGCTGATCTTTATACCAGAGCTTCTTTGATACCTGTTTTAAAACCAACTTCCCTTTCTGAACTGTGTCCTTGACTCTTCCACTTTAAGCTCCTGAATGCAAGCTTAAAATCGAGAGGTTTATGTCTGTGTCCTAGGTGAATCTCTTGACAGCAAGATTTCTTACTCCTTGTCCCAACACCATGGGAGAATAAGAGGTACTCAAGACTCCAGTAGTAAAACTGTGGCTAATAATCTTATCACAAACTGGTACTTATCTGACAATAAGTATTAATTTTGTGTTGCTTCCTCACAGCTATTGATGTTGGTGGTAGAAGTAATGAATGAAACTGCAAAATACTTAAGGTGTGTATGGACAGAGAACTAACAGGAATTTGCCTGTGGAGTTTAAGAAAGGATCCCTAACAGATTTTCCTTTTAAGTCAACAGTATATGGTTGGCTACCATGAGACCCCAAGAAGGGAATAAGAGGATGTTTAAGTCTTTATACTAACTATTCCTTAAGCGTCAGCCTTTCAATGTAATCCAGACAAGAAGCCCCGACCATGACTACTAACACTACCTTTATTGTAAGGTTACAGTAAAAGAATATTGCAAGTCTGAAAGTACATCTCTCCCCCCTCGCCTTTACAGTCCAAGAAACTAGGAGGGCTCCTACTGAGGAGGGCTCCTACTGAGACATTCGCCACACTCCCACCTGCAGACTAAGTTGCCTCTTATCTGACTGTTGCCTAGTCTATGGCTCCTCCTCCTCCTGTCTCTCAAGAACATTCTCACAGATCATTACATTAGGAAACAAAAATGAAGATGAAAAGCCAGGATTCTGCAGTTCTGACCAGATGTGCTTGTGATATGTCTGCATTCCACTTCAGAACAACCTGGCGTATATTTGCAGCATGTGCTACTTATGGTAGTCTTTAAAGAAGTAAAAGAACATCAAATGGCCATAGTTCAACAAATAAGAGAAGATAAACCTTTATCATCTGAAATGGATGCACTACAACAGAAACAGTGGAACTAATTTTCTGTAAAGAAGATAAAGGAGCAAATCCAGTGGATGTGAATAATAACCAGAAGCAAGAGACAAAAGGTATTCTAAACCATTGGAACTGCTGAGGCAAGGAAAGAATAAACGACACTATGAAAGACATTAGAACATAAGTAATGCAACTGTGTCCTGCAAGAAGACATAGACATGAGAAATGGTACTTGATAACGAGAAATGAAAACAAATATGTGCTGACTAGACCCACCAGCTTGTAAAGCAAGCTGTATTTCAGGAGCAAGGAGGTGACAGAACAATTTCCAAGATTTATTAAGTCCACTTAAAGCCCTTCTTACTAGTAAATGTAGGGACAAATTATGTTGTAAAAAATAATATAGTGCCAGCCATACCACTACAGAGTTTGAAGAAGTAAGAAGGAAGCTCAAGAGCCTGGAGCGTTCAGGTAGTCTTCTCATCCATCCTTCCAATTCACAGAAGACAACTGAAAAGGGAAAAAATAATGTGAATAAATGACTTCCCATATGATCTATGAGAGTCCAAGCACCATCATTGTATCCTTCAATTGCTGTACTCCAGTTTGTTCAAAAGGAATAGAAGCAATACAAAAGGAGTTTGCAAAAGGAGTATTCACTCCCATTCAAAAATCCAAATGAATTTGGCAGAGATGTGCAGAGCATCTGGATTAAATAAATGGAAAAACAAAAGTATTTTCTTCAGAAAATTCTTGGTGTCTTGTGAACAAGTTTCAGAAGTTTGAATATGGCCCAAGAGAATTGGCCATCTTGATCTGATACTAATCAATGGGAAGGACTTAGTTGAGGAAGAAGTAGCAGAAATTTTGGGGAAAGTGATTATGCAATGCTTGAGTTTTTGATTTTAAGGGAAGCTAAGTATAGTTAAATGTTTATCTGTAACTTTTGATAAATACAAACTGCAAGTAAGATTCCATGGCAAGAGAAGGTTAAGAGAAAAATTCAAGATGGGTGGAAGTTTTTAAAATGGAAATACTGAAAGCATTCAAACAATTCTAATAAGGAAAAAAAAAGATGGCAGAGAAGTCAATACAGTTACTCAAAAAGCTTAATGAAGATCAGAGAACAAAAATGTCCATGTTGGGTGGAAACAAGGAAAGGAAGTATACTAGTGCATCATATAATTAATCTGGGGCTCATACAATTTAGCTTTAAACTATGTTCATCATACTCCCTCCACAATCATCACAGTCACACTGGATATCTGCCCATAAGCAAACTGATTGAATTGTCTGTTTTGTCTTGTAGTTAGGTGAGCTCCTCCTATTTAAAAAATTACAAATCAGCACATACCTGGCTCCAGAAGTTTGGAATAGATAAGTATATGAAGGTGCAGATCCCTATGAATTAACATAGTATGACAGCTGGGAACTGCAGACTGAGAGATTTGGCTCCAAGAACTTTGGAGAGAGGCAGGTATATCAATGGAAGGCTTACTAGCTGAACCATTCAGATGACTTAGATGACTTCTTAAAAGTGAATAGGTGTGTCTATGGTTTCTCAAATCTA